AAAGTTCCACAAGTCACATCACCTCCTGGAGCACATAAAATAAAAAATCTTCCTCTGTAAAAATAACACAAAACATGATCTCTTCTAGCCCTGACATAGTATTCTATGATAACTATGATTAACTGAAAGATTTGCCCCTTAAACTCTAACCAGTGAATAACAATGACTCATTTATGTATCTTCTTACAATCAGGTGGGAACTACAGCACAGAAAGCCACAATACACAACAAAACACACAAATGTGGGAGAGCCACCTGCCATTGCGGAAACAGACCTGAACTTGGAATAAGAAAGACCTCAGACCTTCTTTTGATCCTTATTAGCTGGATGCTCCTGGGTAAAACGCTCAGTAGAATCAAGCAACAAGCTGTTATTAAGCCCCTACTACTTAAGCCAGCGTTGTGCTAAACCCTGGGGATAAAATAGAAACAAAAACAAGAGGCAAAAACAGTCTCTGCCCTCTAGGAGCACACGATCTAATTGAGGAGACAACATGTAAACAACTATGTATAAACAAGCTATATAATTTAGAGGTAATCTCAGAAGAAGGTACTAGTATTAAGGGGGAGCCAGGAAAAGGTTCTTGTGGAAGGTGGGGATTTAGCTGGGATTTAAAGGAACCCAAGGAAGATAGGAGGCAGAGCTGGAGAGGGAGAGAATTTTAATCATGGGAGTCAGCCTGTGAAAGCACACAGAGTAGGGAGATGAAAGGAATTTCGAGGAAGCCAGTGTTATTGGATAGTAGAGTACGGGAATTGGAAAGGAAGGAAGGAATCAAGAACCCCTTACAAGGAATTTATATTTGATTTTGGAGCTAACAGAGAGCCATTGAAGTTTAGTGAATGGGAGGATGTCATGGTGAGGTAACTTGTATGGCTGAGTTAATTATGGATTGGATTCGGGAGAGACTTCATGCTGGGAGACCAACTGGCAGACTATAGCAATAGTCTAGGAGTGAAGTGATGAAGGCCTGCACTGGAGTGGTGGCAATGTCAGAGGAGAGATGGGGACGTATAAGAGTATGTGAAAGTAGAATCAATAGGATTTGGCAACAGATTGGATATGAAGTGAGAATTAGAGAGAGGTTGAGAATGTTACCTAGGTTAGGAGTCTGAGTGACTGGGAGGGATGGTGGTATCCTTAGTAGTAATGAGTAATACAGGAAGAGGGAAGGGTTTGATCATGAGTTCAGTTTTGGACGTGTTGAGTTTAAGCTATCTATGGGAATCCAGTCTACCACATCCAATAGGCAATTGAAAATTCAAGACTGGAGGTCAAAAGAAAGGTTTGTTGTCAGTCATATCTGACTCTTTGACCCCATCTAGGGTTTTCTTGGCAAAAATACTGGAGTGGTCTGCCATTTCCTTTTCTAGCTCATTTTATAGATGAGGAAACTAAAACAGAGTTAAGTGACTTGCTCAGGGTCACACAGCTAGGAAATGTCCAAGGCCAGATTTGATTCAGGAAGATGAGTCTTCCTGACTCCAGACTCAGTACTCTATCTACTGCACCACCTAGCTGCCCCCAAACAAAGGTTAGGGCTAGAATCTAGATAAATAGATCTGAAAATCATTTGCATAGATATAATAATTGAATTCACGGGAGCTGATGAGATCATCAAGCAAAATAGTATAGAGGGAGAAGAGAAGAGACTCAGGACAGAGCCTTCAGGGACACATACAGGTAGTAGAAGAGACCTGGATTGAAGATCCAGCAAAGGAGACTGAGGAGTGGTCAGATAGGGGGAGATCCAGGAGAGAACAATATCTCAAAAACAAAGAAAAGAGTATTGAGGAAGAGACAGACGGTGAAAGTGTCAAAGATTTCAGAATCTACACTTTTTCCACAGTCCTCTTTACCAGTTTCACACCAGAAGCCTCCTTCTCTCCCCACCCCCACCCCACCCCCAGATTCTTTAAGTACACCTCACAACAGCCTTGTGAGATAAATGATGGGAGTATTGTAATCCTTCTTTAATAGATGATAAAACAGGTAAAGCGAGATCAAGTGGCTTGTCGATCTTCCAGAATTAGGCCAGTAGTAAGTGTGTGAGAATTGGAGAGGAGAGAGGAAGGGAAGAAAGAAAGGAAAGGAGGGAGAAGGAGAAAGGCTGTCACCAGATTGGGAGTCCCATGAGGATGTCTACATTTATTATATAATCTTTGGAGGGGAGAACAGAAACAGAGATCGGCCTCCCTCGGATGAAGCCTATCTTCTTAGTCTCTTCCACCTTTCTGGATCTCATTTCCTCAAGTATAAAATGAGGGCATTGGAATAGATGACCTCTGAGTTCCCTTCCGGCTCAAAATCTGTGATCTCCTTATTGGCATGGGATGGGAAGATAAGGTGTGTTCATGCAGAGGGCACCTCCACCTCTGAGGGCTTATATTTGGAGAGGCTCCCGAGGCTTTAGTGGTATTCCATATAGGGTATATTTCTCTTTCTGTGGCTTTTGTGGGTCATCATTCTGACTTAGGCCTCATTCCTATTCTCAGTCAGTTTCACCGTTGCCCTAGGCCCAATTAATGCAAATATTTTCAGTGTGGTATAGGGGGAAGAGAATTAGAATTCTAGGGTCAAGAAACTCACATTCCAATTTTGCCACAGACATTTTTGAGCCTTTTGATTCTGGGCAAGATAAAGTCTGGCAGAACCTCAATTTCCTCATCTGTGAAATGGAGGTAAGTAATAATACTGGTAACTACCTACTTTTAAGGATTGTTGTGAGTAAAGTACTTTGCAAGCAAACTCCAAAGCTGTAGAAATGTGAGTTGCTGCTGCTTTTATATTATATATATAATATATATTGTATATATGATTCAAATTATTATTCAGAGCTGAGGTGAAATGTGGAATGCCTTTGTGGCAGGCCTGCAGATTGCTTGTATTTCTATGTTTACGACACAAAATTCCTTTCATTTCAGCCTAAGAGATATGACTCGTGCACATTTGCCCAATTGGGTTAATTCTAAGCCCCTTTCCATAGCAAACACTATCTCATTTGATCCTCATAACAACCCTGGGAGATAGATGCTATCATTATTCCCATTTTACAGATGAGAAACAGGGGAGAAAGGTTAAGTGACTTTCCCAGGGTCTCCTAGCTAGTAAGTGTCTGAAGCATGATTTAAACTCAAATCTTCCTGACTTAAAATCCAATGCTTTATTGACTACACTACCTACCCTGCCTTGCAAAACCCTGATTCTTCTCCGAATTTACTGTTTCATTCCATCTTAGTCACAAGACCTTCATAAAATGTAGATTCCTTAAAGAAACAGACAAGCATGCTTGGATACTATATACAGTATCTTACTCTTGGCATAGAATCGATAAAAGCAACAACAGTAACATGTCTACAATCCCAGTCAGTTCCCACATCACACATAGGCTGTTCCTAACCTAGATCACTAGGGAAGACATGGTTTGGTTGACTTAGTTCTTCAAGTTATCTTGTCATACCTCCCCCCTGAACTTGTGAAATTTTTAAAAACCCATTTTTATATCAATATACCATCAAATTATTCCTGTTAACTCTCACCTTCACAGAATTTTAGAGCTGTAAGGGACTTTAGAGTCAATCTACTCCAATGTTCTCATGTGCTTTGATTGGTGTTATGTTTAATCAGCAAATCAAATTAATTAGTACAGTCATTTTTATCATATTGGCATGGCCCAAGCATGAGACCTGAATATCTCTACAATTATTTAAGCTATTCTTAATTTTTTAAAGGAACATTTTATATCTATACAAGGTGTTGTATCTCCACAAGTCTTAGAACATCACATCTCAGAACAAGTATTTCACTAGATTTGAAGGCCACTTTTTTGAGTCGATGGTCTGCAGGGCACAGTCTCTTTTCTCCCTTTCCACCACTTTCCCTCCCCTCTGTCTGTCCTCCCACTCCCCCCGACACACACTTATAGAAGTACTCCAGAGCTTTTTGGAAAAAGGTAACCTCCTCCAGGAGGATGACCTTAATCCTTGGCCCAGCTTGCTAGAAGACATATGAGGGGGACAATTCAGAGCAGAGGGGATGAGGAAACTGGGCTCAGAAAAGCTAAAGCTCATTTTCAAGGTCATATAGCTAGTGAATTCAAAGTTCCTTCTTAGGAAGGGAACTAAGAAATCAACTAGTTTAACATACTTATTTTACAGCTAAGGAAACAGTTCCAGGGCCATTGAATGTACTTGCCCAACAGTCATACAGTGAAGAGCAAAGTTAAAATACTTGAACCTAGGTCTGCCCACAACAAACCTGGGGCTCTTTTCACTACATCACTCTTCCTTCCTTTCTTCCTTTCTTCCTTTCTTTCTTCCTTCCTTCCTTTCTTTCTTTTGTAAATAGTTTTTTTTATTTTTCCCCAACTGCATGTATTTACAACATTCATTTTTTATAAAATTATAAAATTTCAAAGTTTTTTTCTCCCCCCCCCAGCCCCTCTCCCCAAGTCGGCAAGCAATCTGATATAGGTTATACATGTGCAGCCATGTAAACATATTTCCACATTAGTCATGTTGTATCACCATGTTCTTAATAAATGATTGTTAAAGTGAGTTACTAAGAGAAATCAATCCTAATGACGAGGCAGAAAATGACAGGGGTGTGGGGTGGGTAGAACAGGGAAAGAAGGGGCGGGGGAGGAGGGGGAGACAGATTTGAAGGGAAGCAAATACAGGACAGAGCACAGTCTGGAGACAGGGACGACCTCCCATTCCAGAGACTTGGGACATGTAGCTGGAAGTGAGACAGCTGGCTTAGTTTTTATTTTATTTTCTTAAATATGTTTTATTGATGTCTTTTTTTTTCTTGACATTTCATTATTTCTAGAAAAAGAGAAAGAAAAAGAAGCTTACTTCTGCTCTCTCCGCTCCCTCCTCTACCCCTCCCCCCCTCCCAACTTCCCCCAGGACAAAAAACAAACCCAGAAACCCTATCCGCTGAACTATTCGTAGGAGGTTGACTTAGGAGAAGGAAGTCAGGCCCAAGGTAGGGCGGGGTTTGCGGTGAACTGAAGCTCCCAGCAGGGAAGAGCTGCGGAGCACTTGCCGGGGCCTCGATGCTGCCGCAGTGTCTAACCTTTCTGCTGCTGCTCCCGGGGCTCTCTGAGGGATGGGAAGGAGGGACGGGTAAGAAGGAACTGATGGGGGGGAGGGCAATGAGAGGGACATGCAGGACAGAGAGGGGACCTGATGATTGGAGACTGGGCAGAGTGGGGAAGAGATGTGCGGTGCGTTGATAATTCCTTCTTCTGACCAGGGACCCTCCTCCCCGGACCTTTCCATACCTCTGGGAAACTTAAGGGCAGACGACTGTTTCCCAGACTCAGTTTCCCCTTTGTAGGGGAAGCGGGGAGGGAGACAGGTAGTCACTGCGATTGTTTCCTTTTTTCCATTTCTTTCCACTTTTACCTTTTCCTCCTCCACTTACCACCTTTCTCTCACCCTCTTTCCCCACAGCTTTCCAGGAGCTCCTCCCCTTCCAATGCCATCTTATCTCCTCTTTTCACAATCACAGCTGGGTTCAGAACCTGGGCTCAGGCTGGCTCGGGGATCTGGAGACCCACAAGTGGGACGCGCAGACTAGCAACATACTTTTCCTGTGGCCCTGGGCCCGGGGTCATTTCAATACGGAGCGCTGGGAATGGCTGCGGAGAATCATAGAGATTTTCCTGATCAGTTTTACACGAGATGTGCAAGACTTTGTTAAGGTCTTCGGGGGGAAATGTGAGTCTTGGGGATGTGGGATGCTCACAGCTCATGATTTTCATCTCAGGAGTTTGTTGGGGGGAGGGGGGAGGAAGAGATTAGCATAGGCATTGTGGGCCCTTAAGCCTCTAATTTCTTCCTAGTTGAATTCTTCTCCTTGTACCCTGAGTCCCTTTCCTCCTCCAAATACGATCTTTATTTAATCACTGAATCCTTATTACCACTCCACAGATTCTCTGCCCTGACCCTTAAAAACTCCCAGGTTCCTCCATTGCTCATTTTGATCTTGACCTTGGAGGAAGCCCAGATAATCTCTCACCTGATCTTTACTTTCCCTGTGGCTGATCCTGTCATTGTCCATATCCTGTTTTGTCCTCATTTCCAGTCTTACTTGCAGAAGGTAGTGGAAAGATGACCTCACTACCTCTCAACTCAGACTTGCTTTCTGTAGGTCCTCTTAAGAAGGGTATGATAAAGAAATTGTAAACTAGGTTCAAATCCTACCTCAGGTGGTTACTGTATGTATGGTTGTGGGCAGATGATTTTACCTCTCTGGTCCTCATTTTCTTCATCTGTAGAATGAGAGGGTTTTACAAGTTAGTATCTGAGGTTTTTTCTAACTTTAAATCTGTGATCTCATGAATACTCCTATTACATTAAGCAAGTAGTTTACCCTTTCTGAGCCTTCCTCATCTGAGGGGCTTGAATGTGAAATCCTGTGAGCACAGATTGGAGATTATAATTATTTCCCACACTCATAACCATCACCCCCTCCCTGCCCCACATCTAACCCCTTACTTCTCTCCCTAACTAAACTTTTTTCCTTTTTCTTCCCTTCCTTTACCTTCTCATCCTTAGACCCCTTTGTGATCCAGATGAGAGCAAGCTACTCCCAAAAATCCCCTGTGAGCTTCTTCGAGGTGGCGTTTCAGGGAACAGACTTCATGAGCTTCCAAGGAGATTCATGGAAGCCTGCTCCAGGGGCTGAAAGTATATCCCAGAATATCTCCAGCATTCTTAACCAGGACCAGGGTACCCGGATCATGTTACAGAGCTTACTCAATCACACCCTTCCCCAGTTACTTGATGGCCTTCTAGACACAGGAAAGACACACATTGAACGACAAGGTCAGTCCTAAGAACCAGTTTCCTCCTCCCAAACTTCAAGAACACAATCATCAAGACTCTGGGATTCAATCCCCTTCCTATTCCTGCCCTATCCTCAAATCTCCACAATTTTTTTTTTTTGGCCAGGATTGTTTTTTAAATTATTTAAAAATTTACTGATATATTTTTGTTTTTTTAATTACCTAAATTTTCTCATATAGTCCCTCTTTCTTCCTTTTCCAGAGAGTAATCTGTAAATAATCTCTATAGAGAAGTTGGGGAGGTACCTTCTCATTGCTCTACCTTGATTGAAACACGGTCATTTTTATTCCTCAGCATTTAGTTTTAATTGTTTGTTGAGGTTCAAGATCTGTTGCAGAGTCATCTCAAAAGAATTCACAGACTCAGACCATCTCAACTCAAGTAAAGGTATTTATTGAGAGTTACGCCTCTCAGAAATTGGGCCAGGCTCCAAGAAGGAATCAGCAGCTTAGCAGAGCAAGACTGGGATGTTTTATAGAGCAAAAGTTCAATTACATCATTACAGAATATATGAATATATAGGAGGGGTTTATTGATGTGGGAGGGGTCCTAGCCTTGGTGGAGCTGTGCATTCAGTTATACAGAATGCATATAGAAGAGCCCACTCAGGGAGATATTAATGTATGATAATGATATTATAATAAGCTTTCTACATCATAAGCTCACTTTAGGACAGTTCTTTGCTATTACTGTGCAGGTGTCCACTTGGGCTGTGATTTAGTGGGCAAACATCCTGCTTTATGTCCTCTTGATGCTGTTTTCTGATTGGCTGGCTATTGTGATCCTGTCTGGGGCAAGATGACTGGCTATCTATTGTGGCCCTGTCTAAAACTAGATGGATGTGGTTGAAACATCTGCTGTTCTAGGGAGGCATGAGTTCATGGACATGCCTGCTGTTCAAGTGAGGCAGTGAGGCATGTGAGGAAGTTGGGATATTGGGGGTGGGGGCAGTGGCTAGATTTCATCATCTTTGTTACATTTGACACTGTTGACCACCCTTTGCTCCTGGATATTTTTTCTTTTGTGTTTTTTTTTTTTATGACACTGTTCTCTTCTGGTTCTCTTCTTACCTGTTCAAACACTTCTCCTCCTTTGTGTGCTAATCATCCATATCACACTCCCTAATCATAAATGTATCCCCAAGGCTTTGTCTTCTTTGTCTTTTCTTTCTATATTTTCTTGTTGACCTCATCAACTTCCATAGGTTCAATTGTCATCTTTAGGTTGATGACTTCCAGAGTTGTATATCTAGCTCTAATCTCTCTCCTGAATTCACATTCTGCATCACCAAGTATTTTCCTATGGGACATTTCAAATAGGAAATCTGTCCCAGAAGTATCTCTAATTCAGTGTCTAAACCAGAACTCATCAAACTATGGTGGTACCAAATTTCCTTATTTCTGTTGAAGGTACTTACCATCATTCTTCTAGTTTCCCAAGTTTGTTACATTGGAATTATGTTCAATTTATCTCTTTCCCTCACCTCCCTATATCTATATATACCTGTATCAGTTGCCAAATTTTGCCATTATCCCTCTCATCTGACCCCTTATCTCTACTTACACAAACTACCACCTTATTTCAGGGGATACAGAGCTGGATCTGGAGTCAGGTTTGGAGGCAGGCCAAACCCTGCCTCAGACATTTAGTGCCTGTGTGACCCTGGGCAAGTCATTTAATCTCTGTCTGCCTTATTTTCTTCATTTATAAAATAAGAATAACAATAATAGCACTTTTGTCCCAGGGTTGTGAGGATAAAATGAGATATGTGAAAACTGCTTTGTAGATTTTAAAACATTTGTATAAATGCTAGCTATCATATTTCAGGCCCTGGTCTTTCCTGCCTGGGTTGTTTCAATGTTCACCTAATTGGTCTCAAGTTTCACACTGCTGCAGTCCATCCTCCACAAAGCTGCCAAAGTGATTTTCCTTATGCCCAAGTCTGACCTTGTCACTTTTCTAATCCAATGGTTCCCTGTTGTCTCTAGGATAAAATATAAACTCTTCTATTAGGCTTTTAAAGCCCTTCACAATCTGTCCTCAACTTAATTTTCTTGTCTTATATGTTACTACCCTTCCTATACTTTATGGTCTAGCTAAACTGGCCTTCTCTCTTTCCCCACATGATGTGCCATTGACTATCTCTGAGGTTTTACGCTGCTTCTTTCTGTGACCTGGAATGGACTCAATCTTCACTTCTACTTCATAGAATCCCTCATTTCTTTCAGGACCCAGCTTAAGCAGCACCTTCTACAGGTGATTCTCTTTAACTGCTTAACGTCTGTGGGGCAGCACAGTGTAGTGGACAGTGAACCATCCTTGGAGTTAAGCTCTAGGTTCAAGTGTTACCTCTGAAAAGTAATAGATAATTGCGTAACAATGGGCAAGTTATTTAAAGTCTCAGGGACTCAGGCAATGCTCAACAAGAGCAGATTTCAGTTTTAATTTAAATAGATGAATTTTCTTACTACTTTAGTAGATGAATTCTCTTTGCTAATGAAATCACAGGTTTGGCCCAAAAATTAATTTTATTTTATTCTATGTATACATGCATATATACCATATATAGTGGTGTTCAAAGTCCATCATATCCTAGTCCCCTCCTACCTTTCCAGTCTTTTTACATCTTACTCCATGCGATGTACTTTTCCATCCAAACATTAGCTCCCTTGCTATTCCACCAAGACACTCATCTTGTGGCTCTGGGCATTTCCCCTGTCTATCCCCCATGACTGGAATGCTCTGCATTTTCATCTCCATCTCTTGCCTTCCTTCAAGTTCCACCTAAAACAGCACCTTCTATAGGAAACCTTTCCCAACCCCTCTCAATTCTAATGTCTTCCTTCTGTTAATGACTTCCTATTTATTCTGTATATAGCTTGTTTGTATGTATTTGTTTGTTTGTTTGTTGTCTTCCCCATTAGATTGTGAGCTTCTTGAGGTCAGGGATCATCTTTTGCCTCTTTTTGTATTCCCAGCACTTAGCACAGTGCCTGACATGTAGTAGGTGCTTAATAAATGTCTGTTGAGTAACTGATTAATATATATATATATAGATATATATATCTATATCTATATATATCTACACACACACACACATACATACACACACGTTTTCTCCTACTATAATATGTAAACTTCTTGAGAGCTGGGACTGTTTCTTTCTTCTTTATCTTTGGATCCCCAAGTGCCCAGTTCAATGGCTGCTATGTAGTAGGCTCTTAAGAATGTTGGTTTATTGTTCCAAATTGCTTTCCAGAATGGTTGGACCAATTCATAGCTGCACCAAAGGTGCATTAGTGTGCCTCTCCTTTTACAATCCCTTTCAACATTGACTATTTTCATCTTTTGTCAACAACTTTGCCAATTTGCTCAGTGTAATGTGAGATCTAAGTTGTTTTGATGTGAATTTGTTGTTACTAGTGATTTGAAACATTTTCCCATATTGTTATTAATAGTTTGCAATTATTCTTTTGAGAACTGTTTGTTCATATCCTTTGACCATTTATCTATTAGGTAAAAATAGCTAATTTTTTTTTAGCTGTCCTATATATTTCTGTTAGTTGCCTTTTATACCTTGGATATGTCTCATTTTGGAGATATTTCACATAAATACTTTTTCCCAATTAAGTGCTTCCCTTCATATCTTAATAATTTTGTTCAAAAGGTCTTAATTTCACATATTCCAAATAATCTATTTTGTCTTTTGTTATTGCCTCCATCCCTCATTTGGTTAAGAATTTGTCTCCCACCCATTGCTGTGAAAGGTATTTGGTGTGATTCTACCCTAACTTTTGTTATGATATGACCTTTGATAGAAAAAATAGACATACATTAAGGCACAAAGAAATTTCAAATAACTCTCAAAAGACATAAATGTTGAATGCATCCATTACAGGCTATAATATGATGAAAATCACAATAAATTCAGGGAGTGCAAACAGAAAACACAGACCTAAAAGGAAACCTAAAAATGAAATCCAAGATAACTAGTGGGTCAAAGAAAAAATAATAGAAAAAATTTAATGTTTTTGTGAAAAAAAATAGAAATATGAAAGATAAGATAAAATATACTGGAATGTTTGGGATATGGCTAAAGCTGTTATATGAGGGAAAAATTATATCCTTAAAACATGTATTTATACAATTGAAAAAGAAAAGATTAAGAACTGAATATACATTTAATAAATTATAAAACCCAACAAATAACTCCAAAATAAGCACAGAAGAGGAAAATGTTGCTTCCCTTACCTGCTGTTATTTTAAATAGTTTTGGAAGTACTAGGAATAGCAATAAGACAAGATAAACATATAAATACATAAAGATAGGCAGTGAAGAGACAAAGCTATTGCTTTTTGCTGATGAAATAATGATTTACTTAGGAAATCTAAGAATTTACGAAAGGAACTAATTGAAACAATTAATACCTTCAGCAAAGTTGAAGGCTATAAAATAAACTTACAAAATCAGTAGGATTTCTATATTATAACAAAATAAAAGAAGCAGTAATAGATAGGGAAGTATCATTCAAAATAACTACAAAACACATAAAATATTTATAAATCAGTCTATAAAAGCACATCTAATACATGTATTGATTCAGTTACAAAATGCAAAGGAATGCATATATATCTGACAAGATATTCAGTGCTCATGGCTGGGCCATACCAAATTAATAAACATGACATTATTATCAAAGTTAATTTATAGATTTATTGCTATACCAATAAAACTATCAAAGGGATACTTATTTTACAGATAACTAGACAAAAATAATAGCACAATTTGCGTGGAGCACAAAAAATATCTAGAATATCAAGGAAAATAATGAAAAAGATCAGGAATAAAGAAGAAATAGTGATTTTAGACCTCCAGCTATCGCAAAATGGCAGTTGTCAAAACCACTTAGTACTAGTTAAAAACATTTAAAAAATAAATTATTAGAGCCCAACTAGACGAGGAAGAATCAGAAATTATTGAACTCAAAAATTCAGCGTTTAGTACTCCTCCAAAAATATAAAGTACATAGAAAAGTTCTCTGTCTTTGAAAAGAATTTCTGGGAAAACTGGAGAATAGTCTGGAATAAATTAGATTTAAAGCTTATCTTTATATTTTATTCTATAATAAATAAAGATCATATACATTTCATTTCTGTGAATAGAGGATACTTCATGTAACTAAGCAAGGGATATTGGCAATTTTAAATGATAAAATAGATGAATTTGGTTACTTGAAATTGAAAAGCTTTTGCACAAATAAAATTTAATGCATATAGGATAAAAGAGGAATAAGTTGATTGAGGAAAATTTTTGCCTGTGTGTTGTATACTTCTGATAAGAATTTGATATGCAAAATATATAGACCACTAACAGAAATGTGTAAGAGCAAATGCAATTCCCCAAGACGAAAATGGTCAAAGTATCCTTTGAACAGTTTTCAAAAGAAGAATTGAAAACTATTAACAACCGTATTTAACATTTTCCCAAATCATTAGTAATAAAATAAACACAAATGAAAAGAATCTTGAGGTTTCACCTTATACCTAGTAAACTGAGATGACAAAAAAAATGACAAAAGATGAAAAGAATCAATGATGGAGGGGTTGTGGAAAGATACTAACACATTGTTTATGGAGCTGCAAACTGGTCCTACCATTCTGTAAAGCAATTTGGAATTATACAATTAAAGTGACCCTTTGACACTGCTAAGCATTTATTTTAAGGAGGTCATTAACACAAAGAATGTTTCCATGTATATAAAATATTTTATAACAATATTTTTTTGGGAGTAGCGAAGAACTGGAAACAAAGTAGCTGCCCATTAGAAATTGCTGGACTGTAAGAAACAACAAACATGATGCATCTGTAGAGAAGCATGGACAAATTCATATGAGCTGATGCAGAGTAAAGTAAGCAGAACTAGGAAGACAACATAATGATGAAAACAGTGTAAATAAAAAAAAGCAATTAAAAATAATCAAACTGAATGTTGTAAAATCCAAGAACAAGTTGGACCCCAAAGAAGAGGTTTGAGAAAACACCTTTCTCATGCTTTATTGCAGAGGTACAGTTCCATTGTATATGCCATTTAAAAAATGTTGATTAGTATTACAGCATTTTTTCTCTTAGTCCTCTTTTGAAAATATATTACAAGGAATGGCTCTTGGGAAGGTATAGAGGGAGGGATATAAGGAGAAATGTAGGTAATGTAAAAAATAAAATATATTAAAATATCTTTTAAAAATATTCAAGTCACATCCATTTGGAGTTTATTGTGGGTATGTGTGGCATAAGATGATATAAACTCAGTTTCTGCCATCCCACTTTCCAGTTTTCCCACATACTCATAATTTTTTAGAGGAAGAGTCAACATAAGGATAGTTGGTGGGGGATAAGTGTGAGCTGGGCCAGTGAAGATAGAAGTTTGGAGAAGAGTACTGTTGTGGGATTTTTCATCTTGGCATGGTGGAAAGAGCTTGAAATTTAAGGAGTCTAGGTTCACATCATATTTATCTGCTCTTTAATCCCTATGTGACCTTGATGAACCCCATTGGCTCTCTGAACCTTAGTTTCTGAATCTATGAAAATTATGAGACTAGACCCGATGATCTCAAAGGTCTAGCTCTAAATGATATCATCCTGTGATTTTATGAATCCTTACATGAATCTCTCTTCTCCCTGTCCTGTAGTTGGGCCAGAAGCCTGGTTGTCAAGTAGTCCCACCCCTGTTCCAGGGCAGCTGAAGCTAGTTTGTCATGTCTCAGGATTCTACCCAAAGTCTGTGAGGGTGACTTGGATAAAGAATGGACAAGAGCAACCAGGAACACAGACCGGTGACCTCCTGCCAAATTCAGATGGGACATGGTATCTTCAAGTTATTCTCAATGTGGAAGCTGGAAAAACAGCCAATCTGGCTTGCAGGGTAGAACACAGTAGTCTCGGTGGCCAGGACCTCATCCTATACTGGGGTGAGAAATGGGGAATGGGAAGAAAGTGGTGCTAGAGTATAGAAGAAGGGGGTAAAGGGGATGGTCACAAGACTGGGAAGAGAAGAAGATAGAGAATCCTAGACTCAGGAGGGAGGAAAACATGGAACCTTGGACCTAGGAGTGACCAAAAGGAAGGGACCTTGGACCCAATAGGGAAGGGGGTGGAGGTCACTGACTTAGGATGGAAGGGGATAGGGAATCCCAGGCTCAGGAAGGATGGGATAGAGGAAAGATCCCAGTTTAGGGTCCTTATGTGCTAATATCTCCCATGTCCAGCCAAAAGCTCTACCTGGCCCTTGGCTCTGATCTTAGCTGTGATTTTTGTGGTGCTGGTTTTGTCTGTATTTGGATTCATCTGGTGGAAGAATCGACATAGGTGAGTCCGTCTGTTTCCACTCATCTCATTACCTCCACTTGTCTTTCTACTCTTCTCTTTTTCTCTCAATCTCTTTCCTCCTTCACCTTTTCTCCCAATATACATTCCTGCTTAGGGCCAGCAGGAATGCTTTTACCTTGACTCAGAAGAATACTTACCTCTGCTTTCCCTACAGGTCATATGAAGACATTCTGTGACATTCTTCTCCTATTGGAGTCAGAGCCCTGGAATCTCAGAAACTCGGTGCTGTTTAACCCAAGAGTAATAGCAGTCTGGAATATTTTGCCTTCTTATTGACCTCTTTCTCATAGCAAGTATTTGTAATACATGAGCTCCCAAAGATATAAACATTGGTTTTCCTTCCTCTAATCCTTGACTTTAACTTTGGCTGTGAACAACATTCCCTGTGAGCTCCCCCAAGTACAATGGGGGGGGGGAGGAATGTGAGCTGGACATTAATTATCTTTTTTTACGGATTTTATGTTCCTGGCACTACACTAGACATATCAGCATATGCAAGAGGAAAACAGGGTCCTTTGCCTATGAAGAGTTTGAATCTTAAAGGAGGCTGACCAGGAGGGAATACCGTGGAAAAGATAAGTAGTCTAGTGAAGAGAAGACTTTTATACATTAGAGAGGGGCATGATTGCTGTCTTTAAGTGTTTGAAAGTTAGCCAAGTGGAAGAAGAATTAGACATGTACTACTTTACCCCAGAAATCAGAATAAAGGGCAATAGGTAGAAGTTGTAGAGAGGCAGATTTTGACTCATGTCAAGAGAAACTTGCTGACAATTAGATCTATCCAAAAGAGGAGTAGACTGTCTCAGGTGGTCATGAGTTTCCTTGCACTAGAGATCTCTAAGTGAATGCTAGATGGCTACTTGGTAGGAATAAAAACAGTATTCCCTCAGTACAGACATATCTATCTCAGAGATACTGTGGCTTTGGTTCTAGAGCCCCACAAGAAAGTGAATATTGTAACAAAGTGAGTCACATGAATTTTTTGGTTTCCCAGTGCATATAAAAGTTATATTTATGCTATACTGTAGTCTGTCAAGTATGCAATAGTATTATGTCCAAAGAAACAATGTACATACTAATTAAAATACATTATTGCTAAAAACAATGCTGTCATGGGAGCCTTCAGTGAGTCATACTCTTTTTCCTGGTGGAGGTTCTTACCTTGATGTTGATGGCTGCTGATTGATCAGGGTGGTGGTTGCTAAAAGTTGGGGTGGCTGTGGCAATTTCTTAAAATAAGACAACATTGATGTTTGCCATATTAATTGATTCTTACTTTGATGAACGATTTCTCTGTGCATGTAATGCTGGTTGATAGCATCTTACTCACAGTAGAATTTCTTTCAAAATTGGAGTTAATCCTCTCAACCCTTGCCACTGCTTTATTAACTGTTTATGTAATATTCATCAATATTGTTTTGTTTCAGGGAATAGGGAGACCTGAGGAAAGTTGAGGAAATGGTGGTTGGTGGAGCAGTCAGAATGCACCCGTTTATTGATTAAATGTGCCATCTTATGTGGGTACTGTTTGTGGTACCCCCAAAACAATTACAATAGTAACATCAAAGATCATTGATCGAGGATCACCATAACAGTTATAATAATAATGGAAAAGTTTGAAATATTGTAAAAATGTGACACAGAGACACAATGTGAGCACATGCTAGTAGAAAAACGGTGCCAATAGACTTGCTTGACCCAGCATGGCCACTAACCTTCAGTTTGTTAAAACAACAACAACAACAACAACAACAACAACAAAAACCCAAATTGTAATGTCTGTGAAGCAAAATAAAGTGAAACACAATAAAACAAAGTATGCCTGTTCTACCTGACCAGAACGTTGATAGTCTGTGAAACATAGTTGGGGAGTGAAAGCATAAGAATTTAAACTAGATAGCAATTCTATATCAACTCCTTTGGTGAATATATCATTCTTTCCCCAAAACTTTTCAAATTTTGCTTAAATGTAATCATTACAAAGATTTGGGGCGGGGGGTGGGGGAGGGCCAGCAGCTGGCGGACGAGCGGTTAAGAAAAATTAAAGAGAAATAAAATAAAAGGCCGGGCTAGGCGAGTCAAGGGTGATCAGCCACAGGACTGTTTATTTCTAGTAAGGCTTAAACTTTTATACATAAAAGTGAAATGATGATTTACAATACCTAAAGAGCAAGAGCTAAAGATACAAAGTTCTCACAAGATAAGACGCCTGGGGAGCATTGCTTCAGGGTGAAGGTTAATTGTCTAATCTAAACCTTCTTTGTTTACTTGTGACTATAGCTTTCCCACTAGACTCAGCAAATGTTTACTCAGTGGCAAAGCAAGTCCAGGGTACAGTTAAGGACAGATGATCCAGAGAAGGCCTTTGCCTTTACCCGTAGTGACCCCCAATAGTTAGAGATTTTCCAGGTAGATCCCATCCCCAACAGGAGAGAAAGAGAGAGAGAGAGACAGAGAGACAGAGACAGACAGAGAGACAGAGACAGACAGAGACAGAGACAGAGACAGAGAGGAGAAGAAGGAGGAGAAGAGAAGAGAATAGATTGGGTGCATGATATACAGAAGCAAATAAACACAGTAGAATAGTGTTTTGATAAAGCCAAAAACTCTAGTTACTGGGGGAGATAGTCTCTATCTGACAAAAATTGCTGGGAAAAATGGACAACAATCTGGTAAAAACCTAATGTTTTGACCCACACCTTACAATCTACAACATGATAAGCTACAGTGGATACTTGACCTACATATAAAAGGTCATGTTATAAAAACAATTGGAAGAGAAATTATTTTTTAGATCTACAATTAGGGGAAGAGTTCATGACTAAATAAGTAATAGGTTAAGATAAATTGGACAATTTCGATCAAATTAAAATAAAACATTATTGCACAGAGAAATCTAATATAAAAATTAGGAGAGAAAAAGGTAACTGGGAAAAAATCTTTGCAACACGTTTCTCTGGTACAGGTCTCATTTTCTAGGAACTGATTCAAAATTTTAAGACTAAAGTCATTTCCCAATCGATCAATGGTCAAAGGATATAACAAGAGGTTTTCAAAAGAAGAAATCTAAGCTCTCAGTAATCACATAAAAATGCTTTAAATCACTAATAATTAGAGAAATGCAAGTTAAAGCAATTTTGAGGTTTTACCTCACCCCTATCAGTCTGACAAAGATAACAATGACAAATACTGGGAAAACAAATACAATAGTACCCTGCTGGTGGAGCTATGAATTGTTTTGGCTACTCTGGGAAGCAATTTGGAACTGTGTCCAGAAAGTTATGAAACTATACATGCCCCTTGACCCACCACTAGGCTTGAAAATTAAAGAAAAAGGAAAAGGATAAAATGTACATATTTATAGCAGCTTTTTAATAGAAGCCAAAAAATTAGAGTGTCTATCTATTGGGGAATTACACAAATTGTGATATATGAATGTAATGGAATATTATTGTGCCATAAATAATGATGAAATTGACAATTTCAAGGGAAATTCTGTGAACTGACACAGAACCAAGTGAACAGAAATACAACAATTTATACAATGATAATGACATAGAGAAAAACCACTTTGATCACAAACAAAACTTTGCAAAAAAAGATAGTAAGAGATACCCTATTTAAAGTAAACATAGACAACATAAAATACCTAGGAGTACATCTGCCAAGACAAACCCAGATATTACATGAACATAATCATAAAACACTTTTTTATACAAATAAAGTCAGATTTAAAGAATTGGAGAAAAATTGTTCATGGGTGGGCAGAGCCATTATAGTAAAAATAACCATTTTACATAATCTACTTATTCGATGCCATCCCAATTAAATAATATAAAATATTTTATCAAACTAGAAAAAATAATAGCAAAATTCATTTGGGAAAACAAAAAGTCAAGAATATAAAAGGAATTAATTTTTAAAAATGTAAAGAAAGGAGGCTTAGCAGTACCAGATCTTAAACTGTATTATAAGGCTATCAAAACTATTTGTTTGACAGTATTATCAAAACTATCTAGTACTGGCTAGGAAATAGAGAAGGGGATCAGTGGAACAGAGTAGACATACAATACACAGAGTAAATGATTATAGTAATCTTGTGTTGGACAAATGTCAAGATTTAAATTTGTGGGATAAGAGTTCATTATTTGGTAAAAAATTGTTGAGGCAGCTACGTGGCCCAGTGGATAGAGTACTGACCTTGGAGTCAGGAGGACCTGAGTTCAAATCTGGCCTCAGACACATAACACTTACCAGCTGTGTGACCCTAAGCAAGTCAACCCCATTGCCTAGCCTCCCCCCCCAAAAAAAAAGTTGTTGGGAAAACTAGAAAGCAGTATGGCAGAAATTGGGTGTAGACCAATATCTTACACCATTTACCAAGATAAGGTCAAAATGGATACATCTAGATAAAAAGGGAGCTTAAAGTAAATTAGAGGAACATGGAACATATTACCTATCAGACTTACAGATAGGAGAAGAATTTAGTAATAAAGAAGAGACAGAGAGCATTGTGAGATGTAAAATGGATCATTTTGATTACATTAAATTAAAAAGGGTTTGTACAAATAAAACCAATGTAGCTAAGATTAGAAGGAAAGCAGAAAATTGGGAAAAAATTTTATAGATAGTTTCTCTTATAAAAGTCTCATAACTCAAATATTAGAGAACTTTGTCAAGTTTATAAAAATATGAATCATTTCCCAATTGGTAAATGGTCAAAGGATATGAATAGGCAGTTTTTCAATGAAGAAATTAAAGCTATATATAGTCACATGAAAAATGCTCTAAATCATTATTGATTAGAGAAATGCTAATTGAAATAACTTTAAGATATCTTGCATCTATCAGATTGACTAAGATGACAGAAAGTGAAAATGACATGTTGATGGGGACATGGAAAAATTGGGGTACTACTACACTATTGGTGGAACTGTGAACTGATTTAACCATTTTAGAGAGCTATCTGAAATTATGCCCAAAGAGTTATAAAACTTTGTGTACTTTTTGATCCAGCAATACCACTATTAGTTTGTTTCAAGGTGATCAGGGAAAAAGCAAAAGAACCTGTATCTTCTAAAATATTTATAGCAGCTCTCTTTGTAGTGACAAAGAACTGGAAATTGAGGGGATTCCCATCAACTGAGGAATGGCTAAATAAGTTGTGGTATATGATTGTGATGAAATATTACTGGGCTGAAAGAAATGGTGAGCTGGTTGATTTTAGAAAAACATGGAAAGACTTGCATGAAATAATGAAGAGTGAAATGAGCAGAACCAAGAGAACATTGTATACAGTGACAGCAATATTGTTCAAAGAATAACTGAATGACTAAGTTATTCTGAGTGTTATAAATACTCAGATCAACTACAAAGGACCTATAAAGGAAGATGCTATCCACCTCCAGAGAAGAACTGATAAACAGAAGTATGCATAGTATGGTTTTACATATATCTATATCTATATCTGTGTCAAATGGTGACATTCTCTAGTGTGAGTTGATGAGAGAGGGAGATAGTTTGGAACTTAAAATGTAACAAAAATAAATAAAACAAAAAAAAGAAAAAGAAAAACAACTTTGAAAGACTTTAGAAATCTAAGCAATGCAGTGATAAACCACAAGTCCAAAATAATAAAAATGAAACATGCCATTCATATTCTGATGGGTTAATGATGAACTTAAGATGCAGAAAGAAAAATATTTTTTTAGACATGGTTAATAAGGCAATTTAATTTTCTGTTCCATGTAGATATGTATTGAGAGGTTTTTTTTTTGTTGTAAATTTTCCCAAAGAGCGTGCAGACAATAAGAAGGAGAGATGAATAAGAACAAATGCTTGTTACTTGAAAAAAAATATTATTTGTTACATGGGATATCTCTCTGAGAGGAGGGGGAATACTGGGAAGAATTTAAGTGATGTAAAAACAAAATATGTTTATAATTTTTTAAAAAAGAAGTTATGTGACCACTCCTAGATCATATTGGTAGTACCAGAATTGGTATTTGAATCCAGGTTCTCCCACTTAGGCAGCTAGGTGGTGCAGTGGATACAGTGCCGGGCCTGAAGTCAGGAAGACTCATGTTCATGCGTTCAAATCTGGCCTCGTACACTGCTAGCTGTTTGACCCTGGACAAGTCACTTCACCCTGTTTGCTTCACTTTCCTCATCTGTAAAATGCCTTAGAGAAGGAATTGACAAACCACTCCTGTATCTTTGCCAAAAAACACAACAAAAGAAAAAAACCAAACCAAAAAACAACCCAAATGAGATCACAATGAATTGTACACTGCTGAACAACCACCTGACACTTAAGTTAAAGGGACTGGACAGTAAAATTAACATTATCCTTTTACAATGATGTGTCAGTCTACAAGTAGCTGAGGCAGCTAGAAAGTTGAGTATAAATTGCTCAAGGGTATTAGAGTTAATTACATACAGTGTAACAGGAGAGTGAGCAGCAGCCCAGCACAGGGATTACAGGTAAGAAAACATTATTACTACTCACAAGGGAAAGACAGGAACAAGGGCCAATGGGGAACAGCCTCAGCATGTGGATCCATTGACCTTAGTCTGAGGGCAGCGCACAGTGGGGGTGACTTTGCTGTGCATTCTCTTTCTGGTAGAAGTCCTGAGCCCTTCAGGACTCAAATTTATATAGACTTTTGGACAAAGAGCCAAAGTGGCCCTAATAGGTAACTGCCCCAACATGTGGGGGAGAACGGCCAGTAATCAGGTCCAGTGAAATGAGGACATTTTCTGAATTACCTAACAAGGAATGAATGAGGGACAAGGACCTTGTGCCACGCAAGCACTGGGAGAA